AGTTAGATTAAGCACATTGTCTATTGATTGGCTGCTAAATTGCTGTGCAATACCAGACAAATAATCCCATTTCAAGTCTCAACACTTGTTTCTAATGGTTTTCAAATCATTTCGGGCAGGAATGGATCACAATTAGTTTAGCATTTAGCAGCCGAGAGTGGTCGTGCATGCATGAGTGTAATTCGGAGCTCAACAGAGTCTGCAGCCAGCATCCCTATTCTCTGGACTCCTTCTTTTGTTCTGTCTGAGATTCATCAGAAGAAAATGAGGAGAGATTTCAGACACTGCAGGTGTGCAAGTGTAGGATTCAAATGTGGTGAAAGCATTTACAGTTACTTTTGCTGTCCTGACACAAAAAGGAATTTTAGTGTGACAAAAAGGCACTAAAGAACCTCTTGTTGTGTTCACTCTGTTGGAGCAGTGATGAGAAAGTCAACCAAGCACGAGCCTGAACACTGTACAAAGTCTACGCAAAGGTGCAAAATATTGCGGTTCCTCCAGTGTCCACTAGAAGCTGTTTCTAGAAGTGAGTCAATCCTATATTAAAATGAATAAATCTACGACAGAATTGAACATGTATACAGCCTGTTGTTTTTTTTTCTTTCTTTTTTTCATTCAAAATCATACATTTGTTGTCAGATCTGCTGTGTTTTGGTTCTATAAATGAGAATACAGGTTGATGATGGAATTTTATCCGAACATATTTGATATTTTTGGCATGGGGTGCTTTGTTATTTAAGATCCAGGACTTACAAACTTCAGTAGGAAGTAGTCAGTGGTCTGCACGGACCTGATAAGACAGGGAACTATTCCTGTGCCAGTGAGATCATGACCCAAAGGTCAGGTTGTTTCTTTGCATGCCACAATGCGGAGGTGTGTTTGTAAAGGATAGTTTTTATCTTGAAAGGGTCAAAGCAGCCAAAGTAACCAAGGTCTGTGCACAAATAAACCCATTTGTATGACATCTGTTTGTCATAGTTCGTCCTTTTTTAACCACAACAGTAAAGAAAACAGTTTTAGTCATAAAAGCTCATGTCTCTAGGCTGTATGGGACTGAACTAAAAGAATGCATGTATTTAAATTATATCACGGCTCCTAAAACTTGAAGGTTTTCGCTGATTTTGGTGCCCCCTCTGGATTAAGTTGCATTTCTTGTCTCATATTGAAGTTATGTTTTTGAACACAAAATATAAATAAATAAAAAACAGGAGTGTGAAATTCACATCCAAACTGTTGATGATGATTTTGTGTTCATTTCTGCTGAATTCTGACAGACTGAGCTGGAAACATCTGTGACTGCAGCAGATGTATATCACCAATAAACTGAGAAGCTCTGGCACATTCAGTGTTATTGCAGAATTTTCTTTTTTTTTTTTTCTTTGAGGACCTACCACTGAAGGTGTTTTTAAAACAGCAGTGACACACTTGAAACTCATCCACATTTAAAAGTGAATAGATCTGTACAAAGTGCAAATTTAGTTATTGTTCAGACACATTTCATATCAACCAGAGACAGCCTGACACAAAACTTTGACTCAGTGTGTGCACTTCTATTTTCATTAAGCTTTCTGTGAACACAAAAAGTGCTCCACAGGCTCAGGTAAGGACAAAAGGAGTGATAAATTTCCACTTTGATGGGTCCATATGTTTCTGTTGTTGATCACTGCAGAGTCGCAGTCATCAGTGTGCTGTTAGTGAAGATAATTCACTTTATTCTGAGAAGTTTAACTGTTTGTCTTCTTACTGCACACTGATGATCATGAGCTTAATTTCTATGCTGTAGAGTAAGTGCTGTGGAGGTGTCTTCCTTGCACTGCTTTGTCTCTAAAACTCAGAACAGCAGGGTCCTTTTTTCTTTGATTTCAACATTATGGAAAGATGCTTTGCATCAGTAATAAACACTGAACATGTGTTGGTTGGTTTTCTTGGAACTTTGCTGCAAATTTCAATGTGTTAAATGTTTTTCTTTTACTCTATTTGTGTCTTTTTTTATCAAATAAGTTAAATGCTGCATTCAAGAGCTCCTTAGATGGTCCTGGTTCTCAAGATTGGATGTTCACATTTCAGATTTTATGTAAAGGCTTGTAGGTCATAATGGTTGTTGGTGATGTAAAATGACCCCCACAGTTGTATGATTTCACATTATTTTAAGAGAGCTCTGACTCCTTCTAATGGGAGCTGGGTCTGAGCTCCCACAATGCTCTTGGTACTACCTCCCATCACAGTTTTATACAGGTTGGAAATGTATGCACAAATGACTGAAAAGGTGACCGTGATCTATGTCTACTTTAGGTCTGCATAACATGGAATCAGCTCTGTAAACTTGACCTGCAGGGGTTGTTATTCTGGTTTTAATGGATTATTACCTGAATTTTCTGAGTGGAGAGTTAATGTTTGGATTGTGTTAGCAACAAGGGAATCAACAACTGACATAGAAAAGAAGATTAACGCTGTTTTTTTTTTACTAAGACAAAGAAAGGAGTCTGACATTTGGACAATGGAAAAGACCTGGACTGAGTTACAACAGCTGTGCGTACATTCAAACTTGGCCTAGATTTAACCTTATTTCTGATTTATGCTCTACTGATGTTTTTGTAGTTGCACCATCTGGGATAGTTTGATAAATGACAGGAAGCTTTGAGTACTCATAAATACATGCTGTCATGACACATCATTTAGAAAGTTGGCACTGAAAAGAATAACTTTCTTCGGAGGAAGGCTTTTTCTCTGGTTGGCCACTGGAATTGTAAACATCATGTCTATGACACACCTATACCTACACTACTTCTTCACAGTCGAAGCCAGCTCTCCATTAAAGATAAAGCACTTCTTCCTGCACACATTCACAACTGAAAAAATCGTTGAAAGGCCTGAGGTATTTATGAGATGTTAAGTTCAATTAACACACATGTATTACTATTCATTTAACTGAACATTGCCTGTTATTCTGAACATATGGCGTATATTATGTATGCAGGCGGTTAAAAAGTGTTTTTTTTTTTTTTTAAGGTTTCATCAGTTGTCCAGTTCTATTTACAAAACTTTCTGCAGATGATGTGACTAGGCACAGAGCACCAGAATTTATGACCAGAACGTTTTCCTCGTAGTTGTTTCTCAATCACAGCAGACCTGTGTTTCACTCCTTTTAAAATCCCATGAGTTTAGCCAAAGGCAAAGTATTATTTTTTGTCAGATCTGGAATAAAATCCTCTATGTGTTCCTGACAGACTGTCTTTAGATGTGAAACTCAGAGTCAGGACACCACAGGGGTCAGACTGTTTTAAAGGCTTTAATTTGGAGTTAAATCACTTCAAGAGTAATTGATTTATTCATAAAAACTAAAGCGACAACAGTTTATCCTTTTGTTTCATATCATGGAGGAAACATGCACTTTTCTGCTGATTCACACACACAAACACACAATTTCTCTCCGGATGTATGGACATCAACCCCCTCCAACTCATTTTGTGGTGGTTCAGCTCATCATGGAGGAAACCAGAGGCCAGGCGTTCAAACTGTGATTCAGCCATTATTCACTGTTCCCCAAAGTGACAGACAATGCTGCTGATTCCTCGACGCTGCAGCCTGTGATTAATTTTCAATGTGTTCATTAGAGAGCAGCCTCACATTCGTACCGAGGACGCAGAAACAAAATGAAGTTCATATTTCACATGATGACGGGCTGTGAAAGATGAATTAAAGACCAACACTTTCAGGAAATCCTGTGAGTTCATTAGCTGTTCTGTGATTACAGAGCTGACAGGAGCTCAGTGCAGAGAAACACACAAATCTAAATGCCTTCAGTTCAGTAAATACAGGGGAAAACTAAAGCAGCAGGGTCCACTTTGGTTATAGCATTGTTGAATGAAAATATGTTCACAGATTGAAATGAGAGTAAGTTTATGTTCTAAAGGAAAATACAAGAAAGAGCTCATGGGTGTAATGATTGTTTAAATGTATATATAAAAGATCCTTTAGCAGTTTCAATTAGCATGTATATGATTACAACAATTTAATTTAATGCAGAACTTTGTGCTTGGTTAAAACTTTTAAATGAAGAAATCTTCATAAAATTTTGTTGAATGATAAATTAAAGTTTTTTTAAGGTAAATTGTGAAAAAGCAAGTGAAAAGTAATAATCCAGTTTTCTCTGGTTATGGTTATATTTTGTAGGGTTTGTTTTTTATGTAGGGCTCTGCAAACTCTTTTTGGGACCTTTCAGACTAAAGTTGAGGATCTCTGCTATAAATATGCTTAACCATGATGTTTCATGGTTTTTGCACCCTTGTTTCCTATGATGTCCTCAGTACACATTGGCCTCGAGATTCTGTCAATGATTTTCATGAACAGGATCATGGGGGCTCCAGTTAGGGGGCGATAGAAGTTCTGTCTCTACTCTGTGTAGATGATGTGATTCTATTGGCCTCTACAGGCTGGGACCTCCTGCCAGCATTGAGACAGTTTGCAGCTGAGTGCAAAGTGGCACAGATGAGCACTTCAATGACGAAAGGCCCTTTCTGCACATGCATTTCATGCTATTCTCTGCATCCAGAACTCCTCATCAGTAGAACACCGCCCTGGCCAGGTGTCCTGCAGACTTCACAACATTGGTCTTCGAATAAAATTACTGCCATGTTACTCTTCACACCCAGTTGTCAAACAAAAATTTGCTAGTGCATAACAAAACCTACTGTCATGTAAGCTTCTCTTTAAATGAAGTCTTCAAATAAAAATGCATAATAACACATAATCTATTGAAAATCTTGATTTATCAGTGACCAGAAAACTTTCTTTCTAAGAATAATGAAAGACAAACTCTTGAAAGTTGATGACAAACATAAAAACACAGTGAGGGCTAACTCCAAATCAAATATTTTGTTGTGAAAGTTATAGGTTTTTTGTGTTGTGTTTTTCTGCAGCAGAATGAGGATTCTGGATTAAGTCTGTGGTTTCTGGCAGCAGATGAAGAGTGTTTTTCTTCATATAAACCACACATAATGAGCCAGTTTAGTTTTTTATTAAAATCTGAAAACAGACCAGCATGAAACATCTTCTTTATGACTGCAGAGTGTCCAAGTCAATATATGACTCTAAAACTCATCTGAAAGCTGCATACTGATCAGGCTCAACACAGAATTCATGAGTATACCCATCAGAAAATCAGATCTCTGTCATACAGCGAGGAATTAAACTATCAGTAAAACCTGACAATTAGAACCCTAACCTATCCAGACAATAAACTTAACTTAAAAACAAATATTTGTTCGATTTTGATAGACTAAATAAAAATAAAATAAAATAATAAAATTAATAATGAGTATAAATCAGGGTTTCAATTTGAAGAGAGAATTGGTAAAAATCTGAAATTAAAAAGGAATCAGAGTAAAACTTTTATTTTCTGAAATTCATCAGTCCAAATCATAAACTGAGATGACACAAACATGTTGCTGAAAAAAGATTTTAATACAAAGTCATGAATGTCAAATTTGCCATAAACAAAAATATATATAATATGAGGACTGCTTGTTTTTTTTTTGTTTTTTTTTCAGTAATTCATCTTATTTAAGTTTATAAAACTCAGAGCTGCAGCACATAGAAACATGACATTATTCTGCTTTTATTTTGGCAGATTTAATAAGTGGAAAGCAATGACTTGACCTTTTTGACCTTAAAGGTAAAAATCATGACCACAAAACATCAATATTTCTATGAAATGGTAACACAACAAAGTTTTCTCTGAATCGTCCTTTATGCACTACGTACTAAAACTATTTGGACCCTAAAGATGTTGCGTCTCATGTGGCTCTGCTGTCTCCTCTGTCCTACACTTCACTGGAATACAGATCACCAAGAACAAAAATCAGAAAACTACAAAAACTCAGAAAAGGAGGAGTCCACTTCTGAAGATGCAACAACATATTATGGAACATTTCTTGAAACATATATGCAAATAGATGAAAATGACAAAACACATTGGGATGAAATGCTTGATGGAGTAAATTTAGTTTAGTTTGCACTCTGTACACGCCTGTTACATACTTTATTGTTCTAATTGGACCCTGACGATTGTGAAGGACAGACCGTTCAACCAATCGCCCTCAAAGTTCCTTTTAAAGGTTCTGTTCTTCTCAAACACCATCTATGGATAGATGTGGAATATCACTTCATGGCATGGATATGTATAGGGTGTAAAAGATGAATCAGAGCATACCATCTGTTGAATGAGTGAAAAAAATATTCAAATCAAGTCTTCTCATGGTAAAAATAGATCCCTCCTAAAAAAACTCTACGGATGCCAGTCCAACTAAGCACAGCACAATTCTTTAATGCAGTTTTGGACTGTCACAATTTATTTTCAATTCTCTTTCTGATCTTTTTAGTCATAATTATTCAGGACAAACTGACATGCTTAACTGAAAACTAAGAGATTGAACCTAAGTGGAGACCTGCAGTATGGCATCAGTAGTCTAGTTTCTTCATGTTTAAGTTTCTGAACCAGTTAAGAGGTTTACATGCATGACTCAAATCTGGAATACTAAATCATAACCAGGATTTACCAGGATCATATATGTAAACCTTGCTTTATGAGATTGGATGTAAATGTGGACAAAATCAGAAGTCTGAGGGTGTCATCCTCACTCATTCTCCTTCTTGCACTTAGTATAAAAAAAAATAAAATAAACCAATAAATCCAGAAGCTGGAGGGCAGATTTTTGCATCTGAGTGGGTGTGTTTCCTGATTTTTAAGTCTGACCCTGAACGCCTCATTGAGCTTCACTGCTCCAGTCTGGGATGGAGAAAGTCTTGGACTGTCTCTTCTGCTCTCCTATCGTGTAGTCCAAGTGGATGCAGATGTGTCTGGCACTCTCCTCAGATGGGTACATGTTGACCTCCCCACTGACCACTGTGTCCTGCACCACCTCCACAGGAGCGTCCAGGTATAGCACTGCCTGCTTCCAGTGTGTCTCTGGTTTGAATGGGGACGTGGACAGCACCAGCGGTTTCTCCGGACACGGGAATGTGACCGTGAAGTGGACACAGAAGGCGTTAACAGCAGCAGAACCAAAAGAATTACACGTGAACTTTCCTTTGACTGACTTCAGGTCATCCACAGTGACCAAGTTCAGGTCAAGCTCTGCAAAGCGAGCCGGGTGCGAGAGCACGTCCTCCACGGTCACAGGGTTCACAGTGATATCAGAGTTCATGATGCATTTACGGGCGAACCCAGACATAGCCGACATGTCCACGCCATACTGGTCCTTCACAGTGTACCAGAAGTGGAGCCGATCCTCCACCACTGGGTCGCTGATGGGGGAGATGTAGAGCTCGGCTTTGTTTGGCAAGATCAGCCCACCTGGTTTCAGCCACTTGTCGCGAGCATACAGCACTGAGTTCAACATGGACTCATGAAGGAGAGCGTACCCCATCCACTCGCTTACTATCACGTCCGCCTGGTAGAGAGATAATTACGGTGATACATGCCTGTTATAGTAAACAAATTATCAGGTGATCAAGACATTTGTTATTAACATATACAGTGGATATAAAAAGTCTACACATCCCTCAACTACCAGGTTTTTGTGATGTAAGAAAATGACAGCAAGATAAATATTTTCACAACTTTTCCCAGCTTTAATGTGACCTATAACCTGTACAACATTGTAAAACAAAGTGAAACCTTTAATGGGAAAAATAGAAAAATTAAAATAACCTGGTTGCATAAATATGCACACCCTTAAACTAATACTTTGTTGCAGCACCTTTGGCTTTATTACAGCACTCAGTCTTTTTGGGTAGGAGTCTATCAGCGTAGCACATCTTGATATGGCAATATTTGCCCACTCTTCTTTGCAAAACCACTCCAAATCTGACAGATTGTGAGGGCATCTCCGATGCACAGCCCTCTTCAGATCACCCCACAAATGTTCGATGGGATTCAGGTCTGGGCTCTGGCTGGGCCATTCCAAAGTCTTAATCCTATTCCGGTGAAGCCATTCTTTTGTTGATTTAGATTTGTGCTTTGGGACATTGTTGTACTGAAAGATGAAGTTCCTCTTCATCTTCATCTTTCTAACAGAAGGCCCAAGGTTTTGTGCCAACACCGACTGATATTTGGAACTGTTCATAATTCTATCCACCCTGACTAAGGCACCAGTTCCAGCTGAAGAAAAACAGCCCCAAAGCATGATGCTGCCACAACCATGCTTCACTGTGGGTATGATGCTCTTTTGGTGATGAGCAGTGTTGATTTTGCGCCAAATATACATTTTGCAATGACGCCCAAAAAGTTCAACTTTGATTTCATCAGACCATAACACATATTCCCACATGCGTTTGGGAGATTTCAGATGTCTTTTTGCAAAATTAAACCGGGCTTTGATGTTTTTCTTTGTAAGATAAGGCTTCCATCTTGCCACCCTACCCCATAGCCCAGACATATGAAGACAGTGGGAGATTGTTGTCACATGTACTGCACAGCCAGTACTTGCCAGAAATTCCTGCAGCTCGTTCAGTGTTGCTGTCGGCCTCTTGGTGGCCTCTCTGACCAGTTATCTTCTTGTCTTATTATCAATTTTGGACAGACGTCCTGTTCTTGGTAATGTCACTGTTGTGCCATATTTTCTCCACTTGATGATGACGGTCTTCACTGTGTTCCATGGTATATTTAATTCCTTGCAAATTCTTTTGCAGCCCTCACCTGACTGATATCTTTGAATAATGAGATCCCTCTGATGCTTTAGAAGCTCTCGGTGGACCATATCTTGTGCTGGAAGTTGGGGCTACAAAAATGTCAGGAAAAGCTACTAGAACAGCTGAACTTTATTTGGGGTTGATCAGAAGCACTTTGATTGGTGACAGGTGAGTGCTGACTCCAATTTAACCTGAGTTTGAATGTTATTGGTTAAATCTGAACACAGCCACATCCCCAGTTATTAAAGGGTGTGCACAATTATGCAACCACACAGTCTCATGTGTTTATTTTTACTTGACCTCCCTGAAACATTTCTGTCTGTTTTTCAATTGTGTTGTACAGGTTATAGGTCACATTAAAGGTGGAAAAATTTGTGAAAATATTTATCTTGATTAATTTTTACATGACGAAAACCTGGCATTTGAACAGGGGTGTGTAGACTTATTCCCACTGTATGTGATATAAATATGAAATTTGTGAGACAAAAATTGGGGAATAAACTTTGTATCTGGATTGGTTTAACATAATTTAAGATAAAAGACAAAAGGACAAAGGTCAGACCTTCAGAAATTCACTGAGCCTAACAGTTTTCCATGTATTTAGCTCCATGTATATGCTCAACATTATAATAATGAGTGCATTTACCTGCTCAGGTAGGTCCACCGTCTCCACCGTACCTCGGATCACCTCTATCCGTTCCTCCATGCTGTTCTGCCTGATGATGTTCACGGCCTGCTCGGCGATCGAGCATGCCTCCACCGCGTACACCTTCCTGGCTCCGGCCTGCACACAGAACATGCTCAGCACGCCGGTTCCTGCTCCCACATCCAAGACCACCTTGTCCCGGAGTAAGTCGCTGTTCCGCAGGATCGCCATCCGGTAGGTGTTTGTACGCACGTGGTCCGCGATCATCTCCTCGTGGATGGTCACATCGGTGTAGCTGTCAAAGTAAAGTCTGTCCTGTCTGCTCTTGTCCAGCTTTCTTTTCTTTGCAACATGCGACATCTTCACCTCTCTCAAACTCAGGCACTCTGTGTTGTTGTCGCACTTCCGGGTTGTGGATCTGGGACTTGTAGTTCGACATCACATGTGATACAAAGGAAGCAGACTGTAAGTGAACTACAATTCCCTAAACCTGCGGCGTTGCTACATTCGCGGTCAGTAAGAAGGTAGTTATCTGTAATTATTGAGGAGCAGAACAGAGAGAATAGAGGATTTAATGCAGAAATGATCTCGTGGATAGTGCTTTACAACAGAAACGACAGAGACTCGAGCCTTGCATTTACAACATTCCCACTATCATCTTTCTTGATGTCTTTTTTTCCTTTCCTCTTTGCAGAAAAATAAAATATGATTAATTGCTACTCAAGTTTTATTAGAATCAGAATCAATAATCGCCTTTATTGTCATTGTACACAGTACAACGAAATTTGAGCGCCTCTCCCTTTGGTGTAAAACAATGGTAATAAATAAATACTAAAATGAAACACATTTGAAAACACAGAGAGAAGAGAAGAATAAGAAAAGAAAAGAAAAGTTAAAGGCAGTAATATATACAGAATATATACAAAACAGGAATAGTATGAAAACCTGATTATTGCAGAGTAAAGCCCAGTATTATTGCACCGTTAAATGATACATTTATTGCACTTGATCAATGTGATCAGTATGTATTTTGGCTTAGGGGGACAGGTTCAACTGGACTTGTTGTTGACTGCAGTGATGGCTCTCGGGAAGAAGCTATCCCTGAGTCTGTTGGTCCTTGTTTTGTGTGACCTGTACCTTTAGCCCGATGGTAACAGGTGATTTCCGGGGTGGTAGGAGTCTTCGATGATGTTGCCAGCTCTGCTCAGGTAGTGGGAGTTGGCAATATCCTCCAGGCTGGGCAGAGGGCAGCCTGTGATCTTCTGGGCTGAGCAGATGACCCTCTGTAGCGCTCCCCTGTCGGCTGCAGAGCACCCCCCATACCAAGCTGTGATGCAGTACGCCAGGTTGCTCTCTATGATGCCTCTGTAGAAGGTCACCAGCAACTTCTCTTACAGGTTATTTCCCCTGGGCACTCTCAGGAAGTGGAGACGCTGCTGGGCCTTACTCACCTCCGCAGAGGTGTTCGCAGCCCAGGAGAGGTTCTCGGATATCTGCACACCCAGGAATCTCATGGTGTGGACCCTTTCCACACAGTCCCTTGAAGTCTATGATGATTTCTTTTGTTTTGTGGTGTTCAGTTGGAGGTTGTTTACTGAGCGCTAACAAACTTGCATTGATTTAGTTGCCATCATTTCATAGATGGACACAGAAACTGTAGTGTTGCCAGAAACCAGCAAAATTACTTGCATACAAATCACACAGACAGCGAGCATCTAGGCAAAGTTCTGCACAGCAACATGCAAACTTTGACCTATTAGTATGTTGTGCTGACATCAGCAGAAATCAATAAAAGCAAAATTATTTGAGAACCCAGGAAAAGTAAATGAATGGGTTTGCACGTCTGCATATATCATCTATCTGTCTGTTTAATAATCAAATATTTGATTTATTAATACTTTAATAACTTTATTCCAGGGATGAAATACAAATTAAAGGAATAAAAATGTTAAAAGAAAAAAAAACAAAAACAAATATTTGATGATTATATGTAACTCAACAGAAAACTAAAACATTTGATAGAGAAAAACTCAATTTTTCCCGTAACATCGTAACTATAAAAGTTAGCATTTTTATTTAAAAAAAAAAAAAAAGTAAAGGTAAAAAATGTGGAACATACTCAGAAAAGTCTGAACTTAATAAATTCCATATTTAATGAATAATACACATAGAGATCATGGAGCATCAAAATGATCCAAAAAAAAATATGTTGGGCTGTCAGCACTGAAGTGTCATTGATGATTTGATCAAAGTGCAGAATTAATTTTCTCTCCTTGTATTCTATTTTGTCCCTTTTAGTACTCTGTAGTTCTGCGTCTTTCTGCTGCTGTCAAGATGGAAAAGAAAACCACCATGCCTCTGGATGGCACATTTCTCTTTATAAATAACTCCTAGGTGACTCAGATAAAAGAAATATGCACTTAGTGTGAAACAGGGTATAAATGAAAGTACACTGAGTTTGAACTAGTAGACTCTGTCAAGTATGAGTCATAGCAAGAAGTGACTGCAGACAGTCATTTAGCATTCAATACCATTTGGTACTGAAATTTTGTGGTTAATCATGATTACATTTTTATTGAAAGCTGTAATTTTGATAATTTGAAAAATTAACTTCAATTAGTAATGACATTGTCAGTTTTGATGCAGTGAAAATTTTGGGTGGAAATATTTCAAATTCAGAAAATAACTTTTATAAATCCAAACATGATTAGGAATTACACTTTGTGAGCATTTCTCAGATTTCTTACCTACTTTACATGAACCTGAATGTGCTCTATATAAGCCTCCCACTATGGTATCACACATCTGTGGTACAGTGTGTATATCATAACAAGCTGCTCCACACAGAGTAATCATTACAGCTTCTCTGAGCTCTCCCAAACTTCTGGCAGGCAGAACACAGCTGCTCGGCTCTCCTCTCTTCTCCCCGTCCCTGTGGGAGCGTCTCCAGTCTGTTTCTGAGATCTTTGGCAGGAGATTCTGGACAAACAAGACGGAGCTGTATCCCATTTCATAACGATGAAAAGAGGAGAGGAGGCAGCAGTGAGATGTTGGGTGTTTTGTTGTTTTAAGATCACCTTGTACAGCGAGAAGATGGCACAGAGTGAGGCAGGAGAAGTGAAATAACAGTGTTGTACAGTAAGAAGAAAAAACTGCAGTAGATCTGTGGGCGGATAGGTGGGAGTGTGTTTGTGTATTTATTTAAATTCTTCTTAGTTTGATTCTGATGTTTCTATTAAAGCACCGACACTACTGTGATATATGTGTGCAAAATGTGATAAAGCTATATGATAAATAAAGCACTGACTTATCTCTGCAAAAGACGAGATTTTTAGCCTATTAGGGGTAATCGGTCAAACACTTACCTACTCTCTGAGTGCATTTGATCCATTTTAACCCAGAAACCTTACAGTTGTGATCAAATGAAGCAGTGTGATCCTAACATGAGCAAAATTTCAAAGCTGGACACAAAAGTCTGAGCGATCAAAAGACAAGAACAAAAAACAAAAAACAAAAAACAAAAAAACAGGCCGGTACAATAGGAAGGATAGTTTAGTGGAGCGTGAAGCAGAGACAGTATTTGTGGAGTTCAGGCTGAGATTGTTGGCAGGAGGGTCTGCAGGCGCTGTTTCTGGTCGACAGACAGAACAGACAGACATGCAGCTGTTGGCCGTGCCGTCCTCTCCTCCTCCTCCTCCTTCTTCTTCTTTCAGGCTTCAGGTAAAAGCTGCCAGACTCTCACAGCCAAAAGCAGCTCCCACTGAGATGTCTGGCACTGTTTACCTTCATCCTTAAAGTGACTACATGATAATGTGTCTATGTTCATTCAGAGGGAATGTCTGCTGTCTAACCCGGAGCAACAGGCAACCAGGGTTCAGGGAAACACATGAATCCTGTCTTAGTGAGAAAAACCTGCTTAACTCATACTCGAGATGTTTTGATTTTGACTGGAGGGTGAGGATTTTCTTTGATGTAAATTAAGATCTCAGCTGTATTGACTCCAGGAAAACCCTCTGAACACACAACAGGAGAGAGCTGAGCAGTATAACAACCTTGAGAGGAGATTGTAGTAAATTTACATGGTTGACATGGATCAACTTTTTTAACCTCCTACTACTGCTCAGGTACCTAGGGGTAAGGTATGATATATACTCTTTTTGGATTGTACTGTTGTTGGGTGTAAGGCAGAGCACCTGTGGACAAGTCACTAGTCTACAACAGGGCAGATATAAAGAAACAAATAACCGTTGATGTATTCATGTCACATGAATGGGCAGTTTAGAGAAACCAACTGACCCAATAAGTATGTTTTTAGACTGGGGGAGGAAGTCTGAGCACACGGAGAGAACCCATAAATGCACCGGTAGAACATGCAAACCCTGAACTGAAAGGCATTCAAAGCAGCGACCATCTTACTGTGGGGCAACAGCATTAATCCATGCACTACCATGCAGCATTTATGTCCAGTGGACAGAAAACAAAACAAAAAAATGAGCATGCCGATGTCTGAACCTTAAAGCTCCTGTAAGGAACTTTAGCTCAACTCTCAACTCATCTCTCTTTATAATTATAATAATTTAAATAATTAAAAAAATAAAGCTGCACCTCTTTTATTATGTTTAATTTTTGTTTTCCAACAAAAAAGAAAAAAAAAATATTCTGCATTGTTCAAACCCCAAAATTGATGGAAAATGTACAAATTAGCTCTGGGTGCTTTGATTCGTGCATGTACGGCAGTTATTTACCATGTAATGAGTTGTGCATGTTTTTATTGTCACATTAATATACACATTCATATACACTTCATTTTTGAATGGTAATATACTTCCATTTGGCCCCAAAAAATCTTTTCCTCTCAAAAATGAGAGAATAAAAAAAAAAAAAGCCAAATGTTTGCAGAGAAATGCACAACTCATCTTTTTTTAATTAAACTTTGCCAATTCTTGTTTGAACACCCAAATCAGAGTTCCACACACAGCTGATCATCTGATCAGGAGGTCTGAGGACAGTAAGATGTGTGTGCCCCTACTGTGTGTATGTGTGTTCTGAATAATATTGTGTAAATGCAGAGATAAGGCTGCAGGCTGAGGAGACAGTGGAGAAAGCAATATAAATGAGGGAGTGTCAAATGACGAAGTCTGATCACTTCGGATGATCACAGTGTGGTGTAAGACGAAAAACCAGCTCCTGTTTTTTAACTTTGTCCAAAAGTTATACAGATACTGTACCTGTAAGTTCACCACTCGTATCTGGGACATTTTAAGATTCTAGGAGTGTGTGTCTTTATCAGTGATAAAACATAGACACTAAAACAAACTGCAAAATAAACTGTGGGGAGAGATAAAGGGGAAGCAGTGTGTTAGCTCTTTGTACATGAAGACCATCAGCAGCTGTTCTTCTTCATGGCCAGCTGC